CTATGCCTTCAGATGCCCTTTTTTTGCTGATAGCCTATCACTAGGATTTCCATATGCAAAGCATGCTCTTGGGTGATATTCTTCAAAAGAAACAAGGTACATTTAAAGCAAGATGAAAAGACAGGAAACCATAGGAAACTATCTTAACCTGAGAAGGTTTATTGGGAAGGCAGAAAGTTGTTGTTATCTCCTGTGGGTTAATCATTTACCCAAAAATTACACAGGACCAAGTCCTTAAATATCCTTAAACTAAAATAAATCAAGTATAGTTTCAGACAAAAATAATTTTGGAATGCAGCAAGCTTATTGGAATGATTCCTCCTTCCTCAGACCCATGTACTCAAACACTAATCAAACTTATTAATGCACAGAGAGGACAATTCCAACCTCCATCTGCGTCTCCACCCTTTAAAAAAAGGGTAATGCAAATAATAAAACTCAAGCAAGTGCCTAGGTAGCTAACATAAGCATCGGAAACGTGTTTAAAGCCTCCTTGGAAGAGGAGCACAAAGGCAGCAAAGGCAGCCCTGAGCACCCGCTCGGCCGCTCTCCTGGCAGGGCTCCTCGGGCACAGGCTGTCACAACGGCCTCCCGTGCATCACCTCAACACCGGCGACAGACTTCACTTTGCTTCTTAAAATCCAGCTTTTTCCAAGTATTCTTCTGTTTTCTAAATCTTAATAATATTACCTCCTTCATTCTGCCCTTCCTATAGATTTGCTGCCACGATCCATGGAATTAAGCATTCTATCCTGCAAGATACAGAGCACTTGGGTCCAATATGACATTCCCTTAAGCTAGGCTTAATTGAATTTAAGCTAGGCAAGAATTCATTGTCCTATCTTCTACCACTGAAGTGGCTTCTCCCAAGAATGTCTCCTGCCTTAGCAGCCACTAAAAAGGTCTTTCTGGCAGAAGACACTCTGGGGCAATAACCGGTCACATTAAAGAGTGACTAAAATCTCCTACAGATTTAAAAAACAACATCCAGAGCTATTGTAATAACTATTTTTGTAAGAAGCACTAGACCTCACCCACTTCAAAGGTTAAGTCAACACAAATGATAGCAGTAAGGATGATGCCTCATTTAACAGCCAGAAAAAAACCCTAGTACATAGATTTTCTTTAATCCTTATCCTATCTTTCAAAAATACGAAGATTTACCAAGTAACAGACACCGAGGTTTGAACATCTAATGCAACATAGTCCTGAAATGAATTTGTAATGCCAGAGGCTTTTCAACGTGCTGCTTAGGGCACTCTCATGCCCCCTGCGTACGCATGCATATGGAAAGGGCCTTCAGCTGCCTCGTGGTAAAGGCTCAATCCACATGTTGGGGCCACAGCCACCCCTGCAGAGTCACTTGAGCAGAAACCTGCACTGCCACCAAAGGAGCCACCCGTTCCTTGCAGCACTACTAGCACAGCCCTGCTGCCTGGTGACTCTGCCAGGAATGAGGGAACCTCATCAAGTGACCTGGCACTCAAGTATTTTTGGTTCAAGAACAGCTACGAACACGACCACTCCAGGGAGATCTCGGCATGGCTGATATTCATAGGACTTCTGTGTTGACTTCAGTGGCATGAGAACACAGCCAGAATCACTGCACCTCCACAGGGTGACACTATAAAGCCCTAACATATATATTTGGCACAGACACATTTTAAACAAATGTAAAGCTTTCCTTTTGTTAGCAAAAGCGTGGGTTTTTCCCCCTTAAAACAATTAATCCAATTGTTTTTAGAAATGTAATATCTTTTATTTATTCCAGAAATTATAGCACTTTTTAATAGTTTTTCTAAACAAATTTCCTTTCAAAACTGAGCTTGCAAACTTAAAACTCCAATCTAACCAGTGTGAATAAACAAAATGGGAGTTTCAGGATGCTTAAGAACACTCTTTATCATAAAAATTTCACTGAATTTGAGGGGAATTTCAATACACTACAGAATGGAGCTTGCAGGAATAGACATTCAAGAGTGGATTTTAAACAAAGAATATTCATATAGCCATGAAATGGCTACTGCCCCCCTAGACGTGCTCTGGAGAGGTTAACCATCCATGCTGAAGAGCTAAACTCGCACAAATCAAGACCCTGCACAAATCAAGACCCCCTCAAAGTTTTTCCAGAGTCATGGACATTTGCCATTGTCAAAACCATTTTTGCAGTGGTGATTCCAGTACAACTGTGAGTTATACTCTGATTATACTCTGATATCTTAACAAATAACTCTTCTAGCCTTTGCAGTTCTTGTTAATTACGTCCTTCTTTGGAATAGTACAACGGTACTTTGCACGTAGAGCCCTTCTCACACAATTCCATTGTTCACCTGATTTCTAGCCTTTGCAGTTCTTGTTAATTAAGTCCTTCTTTGGAACAGTACAACAGTACTTTGCACGTAGAGCCCTTCTCCACACAATTCCATTGTTCACCTGACGGGTAATGGGAATCACTAAAGGTAACCATCCCCACCATCAGAAGAAAAGCTTTCTGAAACACTCTAAGCAGAGAGCGTTATTTCTCATTTCCTTCATTGGAGTATTTTATTTTTCATTAACTTATCTGATGGGGAGGAGAAAAGGGTTTCCCTTTTCCTTATTCTAGTGATTAGAGAACTACCAACTATTAAAAAAAAAAAAAAAAAAAAGCACTGACCTGCAGTCTGGGCAGAGCAGAAAAAAATTGCACATTCTTTGGTGGTACCAAAGCTACAGTGGTTCCCCCCGCCCCGATCATGCATAGTTTCTACAGGGTCTTATGCAGACGGAATGTTTTGCAAAACTAAGTTTTGCATTTGCATTCTCAACATCCGAGAAACAGGAGACAAAGAAGTTCATATACTGCATAGCATAAAAGAAAATGGCAGCCGAAAAGAATAAGAGATTTATGGGAATAAGTAAGCACCGAAAAATTGGAAAGTACTGAGAGAAAAATGTGAGAAAGAGGAGGAACACATCAAAATTGCATAGACAAGTTTTTTGTTTTTTCGTTTTTGTTTTTTATTTGCATTATGAAAGCAACAAAAAGGTGACATGATAAACTGTAGAAAAATTCGGGAGGCGAAGAAAATATTTTGCCCACTGTTATCACATCACTGTGCAAACAGACAGCCCTTAGATTTTAGGAGAGATGATTCTTTGGGATACATCCAAAAACTAACTCACACATTTTACATTTAAAATAGAAATGACTGGAAAAAAGGAAAAGAGTAAAAATCTTATTTTGTCTTGAAATATTCTCCCAAACTTCACTGAAATTACCCTAGTTTCAGTAAGTCTCACTAAAAAAAAAAAAAAAAAAAAAAAAAAAAAGTAAATCTGATGAAATTCATATCTTCAAGACAAACGTACTGAGTTCAGGACACACACACACCCCCTTTGTGCTCATTTCACTGATTTGGCTCTAGACCTTGATATAAAAGTAGTTACTTCTTTTTTTTTTTTAGGTCCACTGATTATAACAGTAAAATTTCCTTTGGGAAAAAAAAAAAAGTTAATATATATTATTTTCCAGAAGCCTCCGCTCCAATCCCTTGCAAGCAGTTTACCTGAAGCAGCAGCTTCCCCACACTATTGAGGCAGCCTGAGGTACCCTTGTTTTTATAGACTAGCTCTGTCTATTGCATCTTTATACGATTCCCCTCCAGTCTTCAGTGGGCTTCATCTTCTAATCATATTTCTACACCAGCTGTTCACTGAATAACCTTCGACTTTGAGTAAGCTCCTATTTTTCTTCATACATAATTTTTTTTTTTTTTTTGTTCTTTTTAGATCAAGTCTTTCTTAGGGAAAAGGAGAAGAACAAAGCAAATCAGAAAAACAGAATTTAAATCATAATGAAGCTCATTCAGCACTGCAGAAAATTATCAAAACTTGGAGGATGTCTTGCTAGGACCACATAACAGCACACTTGGCTCCTATACCATTTATCATATACCATTTATCAGTATCTCATAAGTAGCACATGTTTCTGACGGATGAAATTCCCTAAGCAGACATCCTACCTTCTATGTTTGTATATTTATTCCTTTCATCATGAACCACCTTACAGCTGTCTTTACAGAATCTTGTATTATTAATTAAAAAAAAAAAACAAGATCCACTGTTCAAACATAATGAGAAATGTTTGACTCAGTAATAGTCAAAATGGAAGAAAAAAGACAGACACTTATTCTATTAAGCTTCTTATGCATTTCTCTTTAAAAAAGTTGAAGTATTTCCATAGAAAAAAAGCAAAACTGATAAAATAATCAAATGGAATAATTTTATTTAGTTCTATTATTGATAACTTTACTAAAATATTCTACCAAAAAGATCTAATTAATAGCTTTGCCATTGTTGCAAATACTGAAGTAATTTTTCAGTGCAGAATGCATAAACTTACCACTGAGGATTAATTATTTATAAAATCTAGGGTTTCGATGCTTTCAGAATCAGCAAGTTTCAATCACTGTCTCTCATAAAAGACCCTGATTTTTTTTCCTCAAGAAAAATAGCTAGAGTATCAATAAAACAATATAAATTAAAAGTATAAAATTGTAAAGATTAGGGAACAGAAGTCAAAGGTTCAAACATTACAAGTGTATACTGAACCACCTGGAGCTGTTCAGCTTTTCTGTTTGTGGTTTTTTTTTTTGTTGTTGCTGCTGTTACAATTTATTACCTTAATATTTGGCTTCCTAAGATTAATTGTAAAGATTTCTTGATAAATTCAGCATATATTGAAATCTAAAAGAGACAAAGCTCCAACACTTTCAACAGAGCCATCTAATAAAATACTCTATATTAAAAATAAAGTGATGCAGAGAGGCAGAATTATATATAGTGCTTCAAAACTATATTGCGTATTCCTGTCACAAATGCATTCTAATTATCATCCCACCAGTTGGGTGAAGACTTCCTTGCTGATATCATTAGCATCTGCCTTTCTACAGCTGAATAGGAGAGCTTTTTATTATTATTCTAACATAAAAAAAAAAGTTCAATCTCATGTTTCCAACCTGGTCTCCGAAGTCCTCCGGGAACTTCCACAGTACCACTGGATCTGTAAATAATTGACAGACAGCATTAATCAGAGGCAAAGGAACAGAGTATTACAGTCAGAGTACATTAATATTAAAGAGAGGGTCAGCTTAGCTTCAGCTTAGCTTCAAGCTTTGAGGCAAGTGGAAAAATGTACCCAAAAACTAAGGAAGATACTGGATTATTAAAAAGACCTATTTCATATTTATGAAGCTATGTTTATTGTTTTACATGCAATAAGAGGTTATTATGTACTGAACCACTTTCATATTTAACTTTTCCTTTCCTTTTAGTCTCCAACTACCTCATTTTTAGGTAGGTATTCAATCTTCACATATTAATTTTATTAATAATGTGATATGAAATTTCCTACCATTAAGGAAAGGAAAGATGTAAATATAAAAAAAAGTGCAATTAAAATACAAGTATAATGAAAATCCCTGAGCGTACTGATTAATCTACTTGAATAGCTTTGTTTTCCAAAACATTTTTTAAAAATATTTCAATTATATCTTCAAGTTTTCATTACCTATTCTAAATTGTTAATTCTCAAACAATGAGGATTGCTTATATTACAATGAGAATTATGCCATATTTTAGCTTACAATTAATAGCACTTTGTATGAACAGCAGTCTGCACCATAACTGTGCCCTCAAAATAGAACAGTAACGTCCAGGCCACTGGATCTTCCACCTCCTATGCCACCTCCTATGCCATCTCCCCCAACTTCTAATATGAAACTGTATCACAAATATTCACCAAGCTTCACTACATCACTGGATAATGGATGAGTGCTGCCATTTCTTCATATGCCTGAAGTGAAAGTACCTGTCTCACTAAAAGCCAAAGGCAAGTCAGTGTCCGAAGCTGGATGACAGCCCGAGTTCCGCAGTTTCTGCGCACGCTGCGGCTGGAGCTGGGCAAGCGCTCCGGGTCCCACACTGCAGGCCTGCGTGCCCGAGGGGCTAACGCCAGGAGCCACCTGCAAGCAGGAGTCCCAAGAAACGGCCTGACAACATTCCCAGCATTTTGGCTGCCTCGGAAGTTGCTAGGATTCCTTTCTGCTGAAGAGCCAAGGCCTCTGAGACCTAGTCAGCTTTCCACTTCTCCCAGCAGCCCCCAAACCCAGTGCTACCTGATAAATCAGAAGCTTCCCTCTTATTGCTCTATTTACCCCAGAACTAGAGGGGGTCTTCCCTCCTGGCAAGGCAGGGAGGTTGCAAAAATGATGCTTTAAAGAAGGGGGAAACATCATCCCTAGTGATACTGCCATTCCCAGGCACTGACTGCAAACCCCATTACTCTCCAAGCAGCCCCACGGCTGCCTTGGCCTCGGCCACCGCCGCAGATCCTGCGGCCGGCAGCAGGGTGCCCCCCTGCACCGCCCCAGGGGTGCCGCGCAAAACCCTTCATCACCACAGCCCAATCTCAGCCTGCCTTGCTAATGCGCCCGGCTGAGAACACGAGTCTAGCGGCTCCTATTCACACCTGAGGAGCTGCCACAGTTGATATTTGTGGAAGATGACCTATCCTGCAGCTCTCTCCATCCTCCATCCACCCAGGGCAACAAGAGAGGAATGCTATGCTTACACTTAGCATGAGCAGCACCTGGTATAAAGAGATGTTAAAGAGTGGTGCTGAACATAGTCACCATTTAAAACGGAAATTTCCCCCTCCTCCCGCCGCCCTGGGATGTCTTCTGCCTATCCAAATCACAAACCTGCCTCTGGGATGGCCAGACACAGCAGGATTTTGGAGAACTGTATTGTAAAGGATTTCATATTTGCATTCCAGTTGCTATCATGAAAAAAGTTACTACAGGCAAACTGTGACCTCATCAATAAATTCACTGAGCAGCATGCACGGTAACAGCTATCAAATTCTGAAGGTCAAATAATTACAAATTACTTGCTAAAAAACACCAGAAATTGTGCAAAGGACATCTTAAAAGTGCAGAACTGCGGCCCTATGTCCACACACACTTTGAGCGTGAATTTCTTGGCAAATAAGCAATCCCACTGGACTCCCACCTGCTCCTGTTGACCTCCCTTACGCCAGTGCAGATATTTCTATGGTTATAGAAAACAGATCAGAGAACTAACCAAGTTCAAACTCTTCTTCTGGATTTTTTCAGGTTACTGTCAACTAGACAAAGCCCAGAACACAGAAGATAGACTGGGGATGGGAAGTTCTGGAGGGAAAAAAGTGGGACTACTTCACAAAGCACTCGGAAATCCAAGCCGGTCACTAGTTACATCCATCCCCCCCTTCTTGTCCTGGATTTCCGAATCCTGGTTCTACTACCTAGAGTTGCTTCTAGGTAAAAAGAGTGCGTGGCCCTTGCGTCTCCCTCCGCAGCCCCTCCACCCCCTGCAGCACAAGGAGCTCCAGCAAGTTCTGCTGGGCACTGATATTTTCATACACATCCTGGGACTGCAATCCAGCGTCCCTCTCCTTTCACTAGCTTTTCACAGAAGGCCTCTCCGATATTGCTTTAAATTCCCACACTCAAAACAAAAAACCCAACAACTTTAAAGTAAGCGCCAGCTTACTGAACTGCAACTTTAAGAACATATATTTCCTTTCTCTGCGTTCTTCTTTGAATTTCAAACAAAAAGGCATAGTAAATCACAAAAGGATAATTGAAAACAGCAAGAGTAATACTCCAAATACTCCTACCTCCTTAAAAGATTCCTCAGAAACATAACCAACTCTCAAGATTAATATTCTTAATTCTGTTTTTTTTTTTTTTAATAGTAGTGTTACAAATAAAGTAAGAATTTTACACCTTCAATACTTCTCCAAGAGCTTTGATCCAAATTTTGCATTTGTTATTACTGGCTTTTAACTGGTTATTTCAGTTGTTCCTTGCCACAGATTTATTAAGTAAGGAAATTGGATATGACTTATGCCTCAAAAGAAATTCCCGTTTTCTTTCTATTCCTTCACTCTCTGAAACCAAACCCCAATACCTAAAAAAAGCTTTAGGATTTTAAGAAAATTATCTGAGCATCTGTTTGGGCTTTTTACGGATGATTATGTTTGTTTCTACTTTTGGAGCTAGACTCAGGCAGCATCTGACACATCTTTGTAGCAACTTCTCACAAGCGCTGCACAAGAAGAAACAAAAGGGTACTGATTTAGGGAAAAAAAGAGAGAAAGTATAATCCGATTTTGCAACTTTATGCACTTTATCTTCAGATTTACAAAGACTGATTTTTCTTTTCCCTGAGGATTACTTTCCAGATACCCCATCTGATCTGGTGATGTTAGGTCAATTTTATGCTGATTTTATGGGTGAGAGGATGAGAATGGCACAGAAATAGCTGTTGCTATAGCTGGCCGATGAAGTGCAGATTTTATTTTCATTTTTCAAACAGACTTCGGACACATGCTCAATTCTAAATGTATCAGGCAAGAGGAAAATGTTAAGTGCACACCTAAATAAGCACATATGCCAGAATGGTGCACATGTAATATGTACATACAGACAGACCTGCACATGCATGTGTTACTTCTTCCTCTACTTACTGTACCCAGCATAAACATTTCTTACAAATGTACTCATTTAGCATGTGTTAAAATACTTCACAGTTTTTATAGATAAATATATATATATAAAAAATACAGCATTTGAAAGTGTATCCAACAAGTACAAACCCCACAAGCTTATCTCACAGTGGATGGATGGGCTGCACAGCATATATTAGCATAAAACTATACAGTATTTTCTAGCATCAAGTTTCTTTTTGAGCTGTAAGCAGCCAGTGGAACATTTATGCATATATTCACACAAATACACGCGCACACACACACACATATATCTATGCGTGCATATATATGTTTACTGAGAGAAGAATGCCATTCCTTAGTCTTCAAAAGGGAGAAAATCGCCGTAACTGCAACAAGGTTACAATAAGCTCCATGACAAAAATCCTAATTTCTAAAGGAGAGCATTTAAGGAAAGGTCATGAGCTTTAATTAAAATTTGCTATAATGGCATTTTTAGTCTAACAATGCAACTAGAGTAGCACAGCACATTGGCATTACCCGTGTCTGAAAGGTGAAGAGAAAAAAATCCTGGCACGGTGTTTTAGATACTGAGAAAAACATTTCATTCAAAGCCATGTTTCACATGTTGTATCCTTTAACACCATGTTTAGATTAAAAAATAGAAGGAAGGTAATTTATTTAGAATGGAATCAAAAGTTATAAAAACAGGGGAAATATACCCTAGATATTGTGTCTACTTTGAAAGCATATTTATACCATAAAAGCCACAGTTTCTAAAGCCTCCAAAATTCATATTTAAAAAAAGACTCTTGCTTATAAGCAAGCTTAAAGAATATTTGTTTTCCTTAACTGCCATATGAAGAGACAATATTTCATTCTTGAAATTTCATCCTTATCACATAGCAAGCCACAGGGAAAGCTGGTACAATAAGGGAGTAACACACTAGGTTAGACTGCAGTCACCTAAAGAAAATAATTCCCTGAGGCATCACTCATTTCAAGTGTGCAAAGATCTGTACAAATTTGCTCTGCAGACACCCAAAATAAAGTTTCAATGAGTAGATTTTGGTCTGACCTTTAGAAATAGAATTACTTTGCATTTTACAAGTAGCCTAACAGCATATCATTAACTGAAAACAAATGTTATGATATCTAATATATATTTTACATATTGTGAATTCACTTACATGCAATGGATTATTTTAGTGAATAATACTGTGTGGCTCCTCCTAACCTATACTGTCCCTATGGCAGGTTGAACCTCAGAAGCCACCAAAGAGGAAACTCTTTATTATATCCATATACATGTACATGCATGGTTATCTCCCCATGCACATTCTTCAAAAGAATGTGGTCCATAGTCCAGCACTGGCACAGAAAGCAAGGGCTGCCACAAGACTAAGAGCTCCGAAAGGGATCTAATGCCAAGTCCGCTTTTCCCATTTTGCCAGGCTCTCAGACCTTCTACATGTGGAGGGTGAGCCAAGCCCAGTCCAACTTCATCAACG